GGGTTGGCTCCGGACCTCTGCTTAGCGCGACGGTTTGCAAAATGCGTCCTGTGGGGCAGACTCCACCTGCTTGAAACAGGCGCCAAAAGACAGCCAAGCTCTACTCCGGACCTCTGCTTAGCGCGACGGTTTGCAAAATGCGTCCTGTGGGGCAGACTCCACCTGCTTGAAACAGGCGCCAAAAGACAGCCAAGCTCTACTCCGCGGGGGGGGGGGAGGGGGGGCTGCGAGGGCCCGCGCCGATCGGCAAAACAGTGGATAAGAGAACGATCACAACTCCAATCCCCTCCCCGCCCCTTTCGCTCAATGTCGAAACGCCGAACAAGAGAACGTCCACGATGGGAGGAGGAGGAGGAGGAGGAGGAGGAAGAGGAGGAGGAGGGGGCACGAGTGGGAGAAGCAGCGCGACAAGCGCAGCGCTGGTGCTCGACGTCTCCGTGTCTGACTGGCCTCTCCTGTCCCGCCTGCCTTCCCGACCAGTTTCAGACCGTGCTTGCGGGCTGTGAAAGAAAAGGGAAAAATGGTCCCCAGACAACTTTTGTCACTATTTCCCAACCATCCTGTGGTGTTGGGTCCTCGTTTTGAAGAGACAGCGCCCCGCGTTCCTTCCTTCTTTCCATCTTTCCTTCCATCCTTCCTTCCTCTCCTCCTCATCCTCCTCCTCATCCTCCTCCTCCCGCTCCTCCCTCATCCTCCATCCGCATCATCATCATCATCATCACCACCACCACCACCATCACCATCACCATCACCATCACCATCACCATCAACATCAACATCATCATCTTCCCAGCGTTCGTGCCGTCCATGTCGGCACATCCCTCACACAGTTCGTGGCCCCATAATTAGGGAGCTCCACCGAAGGCCCCAGCCGCATAGTTTACATGCGTCCCGGCCACCCATTTCGGCACACCCCTCACACGCTTCTGGCCCCAAAGGGAGCTCCACCGAAGGCCCCAGCGGCACACTTTACATGTGTCAACGCCACACAATGTCGGCACACCCCTCACACGGTTCGTGGCCCCATAGGGAGCTCCACCGAAGGCCCCAGTGGCACAGTTCACATGCGCCCCCGCCACCCACTTCGGCACACCCATCACACGGTGGTTCGTGGCCCCACAAGGAGGTCCACCGAAGGTCCCAGTGCAACAGTTTACATGCGTCCCCGCCGCCCATTTCGGCACACCACTCATACGGTTCGCAGCCCCATAGGGAGCTACACCGAAGGCCCCACGGGGTGTGGCCATATGCGTCACCACCGCACAATGTCGGCAAACCCCTCACACGGTTCGTGGCCCCATAGGGAGCTCCACCGAAGACCCCAGGGGGTGCGTCCACATGCGTGCCAGGTACTCGTAGTTGCACATGGTTGGGTCGCTTGTCAGGCAAATTGTGAATATTCATCCTGTAGAGGAACATGCCCGACTTAACACTACTCTTCGATACCAGGCAAGCGCCCCCCACCGGTTATGCCAATTCATATGCGGGTCGTTACTGCAAGAACCCCATGCAACAGAAAGGCGGCCATACAGGAAAACAATTGCCAAGAGGAGGCGACGGGAGAGTGGAAAGGAAAGGATTGGACAGGAGTTGAGCTCTATACACCGACGCGAGTTCCGTCCCCGCGCTGAAAGTCCGCACAGAAAAGCGGATCCTGGTGAAAACGGGATCCTGGACATGTTTGCTGTTGACGCGCGAAACATATCGAATGATGGCCGACAGGACGGTGAGAGAGGCACTATTTTGACTTGCACACATCAACCTGAGCCGAAGAGGGTGCCTATACGGAACAAGCATGTACACACGCGTGAAACAATGCACACAAGAGTTCAAGCTCATACATACGCACATAAGGAAGTATAGGGCAAAATTCCTGTCCGCCCCATTTTAGTGAGCTTGACACTCGACACTAAAATATGAAACCCGGGGCGCCCTCGACTGAAGCTCGGAGAAAATTGAAAGACTCCGTGACGCGCGCGGCACAGAGAACTAGAAAGAAAAGGCATATTTGCCGGAAGGCACATCGTGCTTCTGGCTTTGGTCGATTTGATCGACCTGTCGTAACTAGCACAGTGCACAAAGACTTCGGAAAAGGGGGAAAGAGGAGGAAGAAGAGAAACGACTACGACTCGTTCAGGCGACGAACCGAGGCCGCACGGGAACGTCCCTTCAAAGATGGGTCCTGTTTCTGGGTCTCCAGAGCGGTCGCCTCCGAGGCGATCTTGAGGAGACCTGTGCGGAGAAGTTGAAACTGGGCGGCATTGGACTTGCTGAGGTCTTCCTTAGTCATCACGTCCACAGGCATCAGGGGGCGCGGGACCCAGCGTACAACACCGCCCACACGGCCGAGGGAGTCCCGGCAGACTGCGAGATCGATCGGGGCTCGCCTGTCATTCTTACTACCGGACGTCTCCTTATCTAGGGCATCGAGAATTCCCTTGGCATCCACGATACTCAATCCCCCTCGGGTTCTTCGTCCAGGGCGCAACTCTTGCGCAAAACGGAAGCAAACGGTCCGATGCGAGACCTCCAGGAATCGTCTAACAGGGTTCCCTTCAAAACGTCGTAAAACAACATTTGCATCCACTCGGCCTCCGCAAGGGCCGCGCTGAGAGACTGCACTTCTCCTGCCAGGGTGGAAGGGACTTGCCGCTTGATGCGACGCGATCTCCAGGCCAGAGGGGTCACTCGGGCCCGCGACCTGGACGAAAGGGAAGAGTCCGCCGCAAAAACTTGCTACGCCTGCTGCGGCTTCTCACCGGTCTTCCCTGCAACACCTCCGCAGTCTGAGGCAGTAGCAAAAATTAAATCGTCTATCTTGAACTTCCATACTATAATGGGCACACTAGCCGTCTGGCGCAAGTGGTCTATCATCTTGTTGAGGACGATAGCATCTCCGACAGTCGGCTGATTCACCCGGCTCGCCAGAAGAGACGCAGTCTCGGACGCTTCGGCCCGGCTCTCTCGACCCACCCAGTTGCGACGATAAACCATGGAGCGAAAATCCGTGATCTCCTTTCCGATCAGCGGACTCTGGTGGGAAGATCTTCTACTGCGGGGAAGGGGGAGACGCTGGAGTTGCTCCAGGATGTACTTCTCTTGGTCTACGAGTACCCGGTCAGGCAACTTCCTCAGGCGTCTGCCTATGTAGTCTACTCCGGTCGTGCCCAGGGGCTGCATATTTCCAAACTTAAAGCGCTCTTGGTACTTCTTGATTTCTGATGCAGCTATGGTTCTCCTGTGTGCCATGCACCGGTCGTCCACTTCTATCAGCACCATGGCATCTGGTCCGTCGGGGCCTCGCCTAGTCATCCAGCACGGCTCGAGCTTGGATTTGACGTATCCTAGCGATTCAAAGAACGACACCGTGGTACGATGAAGAGCAAGAGGTGCGTCGTCCAATCCGTAGACTGGCGCTATGAGTTCTATGAGGGAATCTGGTTCTAAGTTAAGCCCTTCGCAGGGTTCCACGAAGACTCTGCCTCGGGGGCGGAACAGGGGGTCCGACTGGCAAAAGGCGTTTTCCAAGTCCCCTATCTGGATGCCCAGGTCCAGGGCCAGGGCCATGGT